CTCCCCTCCTTGTTATCATTTTTTATAAATTCAATTAATACAAGAAAATTCACAATTTGATTCACACTCCCTGTGGGTTCGACCCTTACTCGCTACTACTACTAGTTGGTACAAGTCAGTTAAGGAAAAATATAAATTTTAATTTTGCCGCGTTGCGACGCGCGGTCATAACAGATTGAATGACATGATGAATATAGCCTGAGAATCATGAAATAATTTTGCAAATTAAACACTTCGAATTTAACGGTCAATATTAACATTCTCAAAACAATATTAACTTAAATTCACCGACATCTCAAAACACCGAGAGTTAATGCATGATACGAGGGTAACCCTACACAACTCAACATTCGCAAGAGAAGGGCTTTCAAAGTCCCATTAATTTCTATAAGTCAAAACCAAATTCATGACGAGCAAAATTAATTGTCGGTCTCCATTTGGCCATGCAATAGAATGCAGGGACCCCGAGGGGGGTTATAAATTTAATTGCATTCTAAGTGAATCCCGTTTCTCAATCCTAAGTTCATAAAAAATCGATTAGACTTCATCCGAGGGGAAGCCAGTAACCTCTCATAAGAATTCCTCTAATCGTCTAATTAAAAATTTGTCCTGGTAATTACCTACAATTAATTTTAGTGATGTCACCCGAGGGGGAGCCCATACCGCTATAAATTGATTTACCGAAAAATTAGAAATGGTGGCCTTAGAAATTTCACAATTAACTGTAATTTAAAAACTCTTCTCAAACTTAGTAGAATTTAAATGATGATTTTTACTTATTTATTAATTATTCATGTATTTCTAAATTATCCTATGTAAATGCAATAGTTAATTAACATGCATAAATGAATATGCAATTCCAAATTAATCTCATGCAAATACAATAATTAATTAACATGCATAAATAAATAAATAATTAATGGCATGATGAATTTAAATAAATAAATAAATTCACTATTAGGATCATTAAATATTGAGTCCCCACTCCCCAGAAACAAGGAAACCTTGTATATTTTCTTTCCTTGTTCAATTGGAACTTCCACTGCAGTAGAATCCAGGTTGATATCGTACTGCTTGCCCGCCAAGCAAAAACACCGCCACACCAGCCGTCGCTACCTGTCGCCGCCGGGCGCAGCCGCCTGCCGCTGGTCGCCGGTGAAAAATCCGACGATCTGTTTTTTTTTTAGTTTGCACGACTTTGCGCAAGTCTCCAGGTCTCGGTCCAGTTGGTTTTTCAAGTCTTGTTGATCTCTTGTGATCTCCTGACCATCAATCCACTATCACAACACGAAAAATATAATTTACAAAATTACATAATCTGAGCCTAGATCCAACGAATGGATGTACATGTTTTTCTAAACAAATAATTAAATATATCCGGTCAAACCCCGAACGAATATTTATTACAACTCATCCATATATTCCTCGACATGTCCGAGGTTTTTAAAACAAATTTAAAACCATACATAGCATTCAACAACATTCATCAAATACATAGTCGGCCATAATAGTGGATTAAACTAATTCCTGCAAAACCAAGTTATGCGAATATAATCCAATATATGGTTACGTTTAAACACATATTGTCATAAGCCGTAAAAATTCAAATTTTGTACAAAACGAATTAACCAAGTGCTCTGATACCACTTATTAGGATCTATGAGGATCTCGTTATGTACAAGTCACGAATTCATAACAAACGTAAACCTATGCGCAACGGATCTAAAGGTCCGACGTAGAAAACTTACGGCTTTAAATTTATGGTGATCTGGCTGATCTTCAATGGGATGACCGGGATGAGTTCACGAACAGAACCGGATCACACGAACAGGACTATGGGATCGGGTCGTGTCGGATTGAGTCGGGTCGTGCAACTAGTCGGGTCGCCGGGTCGAACGCGTGAATTCTGAGATGGGATCCCTCTTCTCATGAGCTTAATGATGTATATATAGTGCTATATTAGGGACCCTTAGGAGATTAGGAATAGAGCTCCTTAATTAATTAAAATACTTGTGGGTCAACTCACTTATTCTAATTAATTAAATAATATCAATGGGCCACCAACACAATATTATTGTACTCCTTTTTTCCTAGCCCAAATTACAATTGAGACTCCAATAATAAATACTCGAATTACCTCCCCATGTTTAAGATATAATGTCCATTAATTAATTTAATTACTGACAATAAAAAATTAATTAATTTATTATTATTTCACCGAAACTAGCGCTCGTTCATAACATTCTTACTATGTCGGAACTTAATCCACCTTGAGGGTTTAACATAATAATCCTTCATGAACTCACTCTGGGGACATCATCAAACTAAACATACATGGTGACCGTAAATATTCAAATAGCACATCATACATACAACAATATTATTTAAGACAGTGGGTTCATTGGTCCAGTTGACTAAACCTCATCCGTGTGAATCAAAGCAGTAAATACTGCATGAATATGTCTATTTAATATCTTACGGGTTAAGAGAATGTAATTATTAAACGAGGCCTAGTTCATTTACGACGATCAGTATAAAACGAACTGCTCATCTCTGGGATTCCGTTCAATACATAAATGTACTAGTGCAACTAATCAGTCAAGACAAACTGTAACGTTGACACTACAACCGTTCACGATGGGGTGTTCATGTCCATCTAGGTTGTGAACCATTATTCTTGTTTCCCAAGTAACTGATAGAGTGATCTTCGGTTCGCCCGATGACGACCCACCCTATCTAATGCAAAAAAACAAAACGTAGAACTTGTTTAATCTAACATGATTCTTATTATAAAGGGTAAAAGTGTAATATCATCCAAAGTCAAGCTTTCAGTATATAACACTAACACCCCAGCCAATCCCAGCGACCCCAACATCCTGACGCGCGAACAGGTGCGTAGTGCTGTGACCAGGCATGCAGAGCCAAGCCGCAACACCTTGGACTGCGTTGAGGTGTGAGAAACAAGTAGCGCACGAGCATCCTGTGCCACCTGCAGTCCGGCTGCCAGTGCCGGTGTGGTCTAACCCAAGCCAGCGGCCAACTGCGCGGACTGTGAGCTTAACCTCGAGCTGTCGAGCCATTTTTAAGCCGTTTGAACCGTTTACCTTGTCGAACCATATTTTTATATTTTTAAAAAAATTCTGAGCCTTTTTTACCAATAAACGAGAGTTCCGAATTTCCACAAATTTTATAAAGTCTTTAAGCAAATGAATATTGATGAAGTTGAAATGCAACATTTTCCGAAAAAATAAGATAAGTTGTTTCTAAAAGCTTTGTTCTAAACATGCAGTCAAGACTCAAGAGCTGTTTGGGAGACATAAGTTTTCATCATCTACATTTTCATCGCCATCTCCGTGTATCAGGTGAGGGTATATACTATGGTTTATTTTGTATAACCATGTGGTAGTATATTCTTTATATGTGTGTGAATGTGGGCCGGTGGGTCGAATATTCTATGTGATAATTTCCTACTAGCGGGATTGACTAATATAGTGGACACTAGTAGTAACTAGCGGGACCAGTTGATGCTGAGAGCACTAGTAGAAGAGATTGATGCATGGTTTACTTACTAGCGGGACCAGCTGATACCGTGGGAACTAGTAGTAACTAGCGGGATCGATTTATGTTGAGGGCACTAGTAATTAACAGTTACTAGACAGATAGTTCATGAACTTAGGTTAACAGTGTATTTATGCAGTGAGACAGTGTTTTCATACTCATGTGATTATTATGCTATTCGTGGTTGTACTGAATCGATGTATAGTATGAATTTTACCAGTAAGAGAATGTGCTCACCACATTGTTTTTCAGGTTGATCCAGCTGGAGGCTGCTACGAGAGGATGCACACGTTCATTTCTATTTATGTTTTATGTTTCCGCAAACTGTTATGAAAAATATTGTTGGTTTGGATATTTCATACTTTGAATCTTGTGAAATATGATTTGGCATAATCGAATATTTGGATGTTTGAAAATGTTAATTTATGCTCAATGTTTGAAAGGAAAGAGTTTTTGAGTAGCGTCCGAAGAGTTATTTTATTTTTTAAAAGTTCAAACTAATTCTCAAATATCCGTATTTTCTATAAAAATAAGTAAGCGGGCGATAAGCTCCTTGGCATTATATCGGTATTATATACTTGAGTTTGTCCATGTCATTTAGATTTAAGTCCATTTATATGTCATATGTGTAAAATTGGAACCATGTAATATCTTTACTAGTGCATACCCCGTGCGATGCACGTGATACATATAATAAATCAATTATTTCTATAGGACTTCTACGTCTAGACAAAAAAACAATAGGCTTGGATCATCCATATTTCACATCTTTTAATAAGTGGCGTTTATTTAAGCCAAAAAATTAACATGTTAATTAATATATAATTCCCAAACACGTCATACTAATATTTATTTGATTTTATAATACATATTTATTCATTGATATAAGAAAAAATAAAAATTTTATTAATTATTGCTCACCATATAATACTCAGTTATTATTTTATTATAAAATTTACAGTCATATAATGTAATTATTATTATTTATAAAAGTTATACAAGTAGTCTTCTTTATGTAATGAAATTCAAAATAAAATTTTGAGTATAAATGTTTACAAAATACAAACACATGTTTTTTAGAATTCAATTTTCTCATAATTATTTTTTTTTTAAAAAATGATTTAGCAATTGCCAAGAATTAAATCCCTTACATAATCAAGAGATTTTTTTTTCTAATTTTCATCATAAGGCTTTATAGTTTATTTAACATATTATACAATAGAAAAATATTTTACAATAAGTTCATTTTTGACACATAACAAAAAAAAAATTATAAAAACACCATCATAGTTGACAATAATATACAAATAAATAACATGTCGAAATTTTATAGAATAACTAATATAATTTTATTATCTAACAATCAATAAAATCATTAATGATGTCATCATTATCTTTTAAATAATAAATAATATTAATTTTTTAAAAAACTATTAGTGTTATATAATTAAATAAAGGTTAAAAATATTACTCGACAAATATTAATTATAATGGATATCAGTAAAATTATTGCATAAATTATTTAAGGAAAAAATCTTTAATATCATATTTAGATAGTAAACGTAAATATGCAAGCATTTAATGCATATAGTAAAAAATTTTCAAATAAAATATGCATTAAACGTGTGTTCATTTTTCTTTCAACTATTTTTGATAAATAGGTTGGCTTTTAATATAGATATATAGATATACATTTCGTTATCGGACAGGTATGTACCGTATAGTTGGACAACCCTACAGCACACTACCTTCTCCAACATTCTGCAATCTCGATCCGACGAGATGGAACCCCCACACCACGACCACTGCAGCGGCCACCATGATCAGACGCCGCTCCCGTCTTCGCAATTTCCTCCTCCGCCGTCGGTCTGCGCCAAGTGCGGCGGCCCGACCAGTTACCCCACTCCCCCGCCGCCATCCGCCACCCCCTCTTACATACCCATCCGCCTCCCCGCCGTGAACCTCCCCGCCTCCCCCGCCAACATGAAGGAGATCATTATCCGCACCCCCATCCCCCAGTCGGAGAAGGTAGTCCCCGTCTCCCCTTCCCACAAATTCGCCGTCCCTTCCAAGCGAATCCGTTCCCAGGATGACATTGCGCAGCTCCGCGCCTCCCCTTCCTTCCGAAACTTCCTTGGCTTCGTGGTCTCCCTGTCCGAGTCCATCAGATCGCGTATGCTTTCGGATCCCTGCCACGTGTCACCCGCCATTGAAACCCTAGTTTCCATCATCCAGAAGCTGGTCGACTATGTGGATGACATTCCACGGGCACCACTCGCTGCCAGGTACGGCAACGTCTCATATCGCGTGTGGCATGAGCGGATGAGCAGTGAAGCTGAGGGATTTATGATGGTGTTACTGCCGCCCGATGTCCGAGATGCTGCTGTCGAACTTGTGCCATACTTCACTGATAGTTTTGGCAATGCCAGCCGCATCGATTATGGTAAATGAAGAAGATAGAAACAAAGTTTTTGGTTTGAAATGGGTACCTTATACATATTGATATATGTGTACCTTATTCATATTGATATATGTGTCTTATATGATTTCAGCTTTTGGGTAAGTCGATGAGATAGTGTCTAAGATTGTTTAGGGTCCATTGGAGGGAATTCTTTTGCAAAGCATCCTGAATGAGTCATGAATATTGGTTCTAAGCATATTCGCATAAACTGCAGCTCTTGGAAGGTGGTATATATGTATTACTAGTGTTGGGAAGATGTGCTAGGATTCATTGAAAATTTTCTGCCCATCCTTTAAAAGCTTTTTTTAATCTTGGAAACTTTCTAGCTAGCACCATCAGTTCCATATGACTGGTAATTATAAGAATTTGTATGTGTTCTTAGTTCTTATTTTCTGCAAGAAGCAATGGCTGATATCACTATTACAATCATTTTCACTGTCATTTGTAGGACTATTATTACAAATGGTTTGAAATTTTAAGAGTTAAGGACCATCACGTAAATGAGCATAACATGTTTTCTTCTTTGTTTCCAATACACTCTGTTGCGTTTGCTTAGGTGTTGACAAGAATCAGTATCACTTTTATAGTTGGTACCACACTCTTGACCAGGTTTATTTGGCTAATTGTTTGTATAAGGTGGGAAAAAAATGTAACTCTGACAGTGAACTTCTAATTATGTTTCTCTTATCTAATAGGCACTGGTCATGAGACAAACTTTGCAGCGTGGTTCTATTGCCTATCTAGATTGGCTGTTGTTAGAGAAGATGATTACCAAGCCTTGGTTTCAAGAGTGTTTGTCAAGTACTTGGAATTAATGCGAAAATTGCAACTTACTTACAGCTTGGAACCTGCTGGATCCCATGGTGTGTGGGGACTTGATGACTATCATTTCCTACCATATATATTTGGGGCCTCACAATTGATTGACCACAAGTACATGAAGCCAAAATCAATTCACAATGAGGATATCTTGGAGAATTTCTCAAAAGAATATTTGTACCTATCATGTATTGTTTTTGTGAAGAAGATGAAGAAGGGGTTGTTTGCTGAGCATTCACCTATGCTGGATGACATCAGTGGTGTTCCTAATTGGAATAAGGTGCACAGTGGGTTGTTAAAGATGTATAAAATAGAAGTTCTGGAGAAGGTTCCTATTATGCAGCATTTTCTCTTTGGCTCAATTATTGAATGGTAAGCATCGAATCTTTAATCTCTTATTGCTTGATTAGTTGATACTCTGAATCATTACTCTATGATTGGAATTACTTTTCCATTGGCTTTAATCTTCGTGTTGTTTGCCTTTTATGTTTCTCTTGTTTTGGAAATTTTCCATGAATGAGGAATTCCAATAGTTCAGTAATCTCTTGAGATTGATAGGTGAAACATTTGATCATCTCCTCAAAGGTGTGTTGTTCAATTTGATGACTATTTTCAGCATAAACTACCCCTTTGGTAAATGAAATCTATATTAAGAAATTTGTATTTCTTATTTATTATTCAAGATTTTGGTTGCCACATCGAAATATGAGTCGCGAATAACTCTCTGGTCCCTATATTATTTGAGTTCTGACCGATGATGTGTCGAAGAAAACTGTGACAACTTATATGGCTGGTTGGTTTCACATTCAACCCATTATTTAGGATGAAAAGATCTTCGCTGTTTGTTTGGGTGTGAAAATGAGAATATGTATGATATGATTTAGTACGAGAATCTGACTCTATGAAATGAAAGTACTGTTGGTTTGTCTTTATTGTTCTCTTGCCAGGAAGATTGAAACTCCAAAGCTGGATTGTGGTAAGGGTGTGGGTGGGTGGTAGAGTATTACAGCTTCCACAAGTATTGATTGCACTACAGGATACAGACTAATGGAATTACTGTGGCGTCTTTCCTGGTCCTGAGTGCTAGTAATGAGTTTCTATTTGGTTCCTGGTTTTGTTAGTAATAGGGATTATTTATTATTTGCTTGGCTACCAAACAAAAGATAAGTTTTATACCCAATTGGCCAATCCCAATGATGTTACTGTTGATGAAAGAGTTCAATTTGACGACCTTTCACTAGCATTTACTTTTTCTATCCTCACACCCATGACACATTTTCATCTTTAAAAAAAAAAAAAATTATCATTATTACGAGTCTCCCCAGTAATTAAACTATTCATACTCACGTATTTTCACTACCGTCCTACCGAGCCAATCGAACCATCGAACTAACATAGTTACAAAAATCAGCTTTTCTCATATTATTTTAATATTTTCTTGTCGAATTGAAGTTCACTTTACATTTTCATCTCATATCTAATCATACGATAAGTTTTCTACCCAAATCCAATGATGTTACCGTCGTTGAAAGAGTTCAATCTGTACACCCTTCACTCCTTTTACTTAATTTTCCTCCCACCCATTCATTTAAAAAGGTGCTGGACTCGTTATGGAGGAAATAATTTGGGTGTCATCTGAAAGTATATGTGCATCGTCATTGACTTTTGTGACCCATGGTTTCCTTGGGCCATGACTCATAACTTTATGATAATGGGTTTCAGCAAAAGGTGTGATGGAATGGACCATGTTTTTAGTTATATGGGGAAAATGGTTAGGATGTGGATTAGGAATGGTATGGCACATTACAAGTGTTTGCCAGAGGCTTTTATAAAATGTTCTCTTCTCTAGTTATATTTGTTCCTTGCCCAATTACTGTTTGTTTTTTGTGTGGCATCACCTATAAGTTTCCATGTGCACATTTCTTGTGCTTTGTCAAGCATGCTAATATATTTAACTTATTCTGATTTAGTTGTTTGATGTTATGCTCTCTTTTCTGATATGTATACTCTTTTATGGAAGAATGGGGTTATCTTATTTGATTTCTCAACATATACCTCTGGGCTAATAATATCTTTTTCAAGATTCAAGAATGTAATGTTGATCTTTTCGTTCATGTCATCATGTTTCTACTCATGCAGGGTTTAAACAAGACATGCTGAGGCAGATTGTTCAGGCAAATGATGAATCTGATGCCTAGGATTTCCTTGCTGTTAAACCCAAGGGGAAGCCAACAGCTAGCTAGTGTATGCCGTTTAAAATATTCATGAATCTGTATGAAGTTAGAGATGAGAAGCTTGTTCACCAAAGCTCCATAACTGATCCATAATTTATTTGTGGGGGACAGTTCAATATTATTTGTAGGCGCGTCATGGTTTATCAAGTCTAGTTTTCAGTTGTCCATTAAATTCATAAATAAACTAATGTAAAATCATTAATAAACAAACAATCTCCAATGAATTCACTGGGCTAGTTGAGTTGTGCCACCAAAGCAAACATTTTGCAATTCAAACAAACGAAATCCGTTTACATGGGGTAGTCTTTGGTTTGTAGATGGGGATTTTAATGACATCCTGAGTAACAGGGAGAAATAGGGAGGTGTGGTGAGAAGTTAGTCTTCTTTTTACAATTTCAGGAGGTTAACCTTGTAGACTGCCCCTGTGTTGGGCACCCATTCACATGGTCTAATAATAGGCCAGGGTCCCAATTTGTTGAAGAGAAGCTAGATAGAGTATTTCTTTTCCCTGAGTGGTTTATGACTTTTCCAAATTCTTCTGTCCTACACATCCCTATGTTTTCATCAGATCATTGTATGTTACTGTTGACATCTGACACTTTAGAACAGAAAAGGAAGAAAAGGTTTTTTTTTTTTTTTTTACAGCAGATGGGCAAAGATGTCTGGTTTTGAGGAATGTGTGAAAAGTGCATGGGAAGTGGAGGTTCAAGGAAGAGGTCTGTACAATTTCCAAAAGAGGCTCAAGAATGTGAGGTTAGGATTAATAGGATGGGCAGCTCAGAGCAACACTAACTCAGCTAATCTGATAAAAGTGTGTACAGCAAAACTTGAAGCAATGGGGCTGCAGGGAGGGGGAAGAGATTGGGAGGAGTGGAAGGACTGCAAAGAAAAGCTCCACAAAGCCTATCTAGAGGAGGAGATTTATTGAAAGCAGAAATCAAGGGTGAGCTGGCTGAGGGAGGGTGACAAAAATACTAGGAGCATGTTTGTTTGTGAAATTTTTCAAAATATTTCCATCATTTTAACTCAACTACTTTTTTTAACTCAACTTTAACTCAACCCCACTATCATCAATATTATCAATATAATTAAATAATATCAATCAATCATTCATACACACCACATCAACCTTAATTCACTATTCATCCACTCACATATTTTAACTAACAATCACATCAAATCATCTCTCTCTCCTACTTTTAGAATAAATCAATTTTAATTATTTTATTTAAAATATTATTTTAATATATCCACTACCAACTAACCATACTACTTTTTTCAAAACTAACCAAACCAACTAAAAAAATCTCACAAAACCAAAAATTTCCATAAACAAACATGCTCTAGGTTTTTCCAGGCATGTGTGAGACAGAGAAGATGCATAAATAGTCTGGAGCAATTGGTGAAGATGTCAGGTGAGAAATGTCAGAATCTGCAAGAATCAGTAAAGGAGATAGAGCAGTATTTTGAAAGATTGTTTGCCTCTGAGAACCCTGATTTTAATGCTGAAATCCTGAGGGGTATTCCAAGATCTATTACTACAGAGATGAATCAGACATTAACAA